GTTCTCTCATTTGAGTGAAACGTGATATTCCAAGCATAGCTCTTTCTATTCTTCTTTGGGAGACCTGGATGGCGTTCTCATCTTGTTTGCGTAGGGCCCAGGTCTCTGAGGCATATGTTAATGCAGGAAGAACAGTGGAATCAAAGAGATGTGCCCGGAGCCGAAGGTTCTTCGTCCTCTTAGCTATTTCTTCGACGTTCTTGAAGGCATTCCAAGCCGCTCTCTTCCTCCTGCGCAGCTCGGGTGCCAGGTCATTTCTCATGTTGACCTCTCGACCTAGGTAGACATAGCTGTTGCATTCGGAGATGGTCGTTCCATTGAGAGTGAATGGGGCGTCAGGAACAAGGCTGTTTCTCATAAACATTGTCTTCGTAAGATTCAGCTGTAGTCCTACCTTTCCACACTCACGGTCAAAGTCGGCCAGCATTTGTGCCGCTTGGCTGATGTTTGGTGTTATTAAAACAATGTCATCAGCAAAGCGGAGGTGGTGTAATTGCCGACCATCTATCTTCACTCCCATTCTTTCCCATTCCAGTCGTCGCATGATGTTCTCGAGGGTGGCACTGAAGAGTTTCGGTGAAATGGTATCACCCTGCCGCACCCCTCTCTTGACATCAACGATCACTTCTTTGTAGAATGGTGAGATCCTGGTAGTGAATCCGCAATAGAGCTCACGGAGGATCCTGATGTATTTGGCTTGAACGCCCTGATTGGCTAGGGCTTCAATGACCGCTTCTGTCTCAACAGAATCAAAGGCCTTCTTTAAATCAATGAACGTTAAGCAGAGCGGCATCTTTAGGTAATATAAATAGTTTTATATTTTGGAGCTAGGATAACTGGATCATATGTGTTTATACTTCTAGTTTTTATGAAAAAGTAATTTCCATGCTGTGCCAGAGAGCTAGTGCAGGAGTTAAGGCATGCTTATCTTGCAAGCAGCCAATGCTGATTTGATTCACTTTATGGTCTTCAAGAACAGAGCTGGGAGAAGTCTTCAGCATTGCTAGGTGTGTTCCCTGCTTCTCCCACCACTACCATCACCACACACACACACACACACACACACACACACACACACACACAGACCAACCAGCCCCCCCCCCCCATTTTTTCCATAATAGCTATACTACAAATCTATTGCCCCTCCAAGGGTGTACTGGAATTCCCCTTTCTCTACCACTTACTAGTATCATTTGGGTAATAGCTGTTCTTTGTTGCTTTGCCTTGCATTTCCATAATTGTGTGTGTGTGTGACTCCTTTCTGATTTTGGAATCAGGATAATCTGTTTTTCCTTTTCAACTTATTGGAAACAATATTAGAAGGATAAGCTGTTTTCTGTAAGCTCAGTAAATTTTACAGTAGAAGCCACTTGACCTTTATCTTTTGCTTTTGGGGATGCTTTTGATTATTCTTTTTCTTTTCCTCACTTGTGGTCAGTCTGTGAAAAGTTTCTCTTTCAAATTCTGTCATCATCATCATCATCATCATCACCATCATCATATCATCATTTTTTTAAATCTTTTGGTCACACCTGGCGATGCACAGGGGTTACTCCTGGCTCTGCACTCAGGAATTACCCCTGGTGGTGCTCAGCGGACCATATGGGATCCTGGGAATCTAACCCGAGTTGGCTGCACAAACGCCCTCCCCGCTGTGCTATTGCTCCAGCCCCTCATATCATCATTATTATTGTTTTGACACACAGGGAGGTGCTCCGGAGCTTCATCTCATGCCAGGGAATTCTTTTTGAAGTTGAGGTGCAGGGGAGGAACAAAGTAGTGTTGGGGGCTACTGCCAGCAGGGTCTACTTCCCTGCCCTGGGGGTTTGGTCCGTGACAGGGATTCATGTGTTCATCATGTTGAGCTCTTTCTGACTTGTGTGCCAGGAATTGAACCCAGATATTCTGCATGCAAAACACACACTCCAGGCCTTTAAGATCTTTTCCCAGCCCTATAGTCAATCTTAAAATGTGTTTCTAGGAATTGACCCACTTCTGCTTTCTCTAATTTGTTGTAATATAGATATTCCTAAAACTCTCTGAATCATTTGTGTTTATGTAGTATTTGGCCTTTTAAAATTTGATTTGTAATTCTTCTTTCTGATCATATTCATTACTGCTCTGACTTTTATTTTTGAAGGGGATACCCTGCAATTCTCAGGGGGTCTGTGATATTGGGGTTCAAACCCAGGGCTCTGGCACATGCTAAAGCCCTTTGAACAGCCATACTGATTTTTTGAGGATTAGCGCCTATTTTGGGATCCACCCTGTAACCCCAAGACTGATCCATGTGCACTGAGGAATGTATATTCTGTCTGGGATAGAAGTCCAGGTCCTCTGCCATTTATAGCCAGTGTTTCCTTCGGTATTTCTTGTGCTGTGGTGGAGGGAGGGCGCTAAAACCTGTCCCATGCCCCTTTTTAAGTCTGTTAGGATTTTTTTTTTTATAGGTTTGGGTGCTGATGCACTGCATACACAAGCATTATATCTTTTTGCTTCATGGATCCCTTTATCAAACTTGTCTTTTTTAAAAAAAATTTTTTTAGTGAATCACTGTGAGGTACAGTTACAGACTTTACTGTTGTGTTTCAGTCATGCAATGCTCTCTTTACCTAAGTTACATGGTTCCTGCTTTAAAAATATTCCCTTTGGCTTGGAGTGCCACTTTCTCCTCTCTACTTCAAATCTTTTTCTTTTGATGCCTAAGTGAGTCTCTTGAGGTAGCATGTCACGTTATTAAATTTCAGCTACTTTTTTATTTTAGCCAAAGGCACTGAACAACTAATCATTGCAAATGGCCTGAATTACTAATCAAGAAGCACTAACAATAGTTTTTGATATTAGCTTTTGCTGGAGCCATTTTAACATGTTGTTGTTGTTGTGTGTGTGAATTTCCTTTCATTTAACAATCTTTTTAAAAATTACTTATTTATTTTGCGATGGTCTAGGGTTACTCTTGGCTCTGCACTCAGGAATTACTCCTGGCAGTGCTCAGTGGACCACATAGGATGCCAGGGATCAAACCTGGGTTGGCCACCTGCAAGGTAAACACCCTCCCTGCTGAACTATTGCCCTTGCCCCCTGAAATTTTTTTCAATAGACAATTTCCTTACTACAATTATTGTATCGAAGGTATTGTAGTGAATCCTTTTGTTGGTTTGTGAAAGCCTTTACTTTTCTCAAGTTAGAGATTTGCGAGATAGAGTATTTTTGGCTGCAAGAGGTGTGTGTGTGTGTGTGTGTGTGTGTGTGTGTGTGTGTGTGTGTGTGCCACACCCAGCACTGCTCAGGGGTTACTCTGTGCTAGGGGAGGGAGTTGGGGGTCAGGGGTACACTCCATCACCTGCTGTCGTATAACAGATTTTGTCTCTGAGTATTTTGAATATTCCTCCACTCTCCCCCAGTCTGTGAATTTTCTGCTGAGAACTTAGGTGATACTTTGATGGAGGCACCTTTCTATGTTTCCTGCTTCTTTCCCCTAGACATATTTTGTGTTATTTGTCCTGGACTTAAACATCTTCCCATTAGCATGTGTATTGGTCTAAGTGCTTTGTCTCTAGATCAGCCGGCCTTTCTCTACCTTTCCCAGCCTTGCATAGCAACTGCATCCTCAGCTTTGGAATGTCCATAGCTATTACTTCATGAGTAATCTCCTTCTCCTCTATCTCAACCTCTGTCCCATTTGGGATTCCTGCTATTCTTTATTATTATTTTTTGGGGGTGGGGGGTGCCTTTTCTAGTGGTTTCCCATAGCTCTCACAATATTGCTTTCTCACAATCTTATTTCTCTTCTCCAGGAACTGTGTCTGTCCCCAGTCTGTGGTGTCACAACCACCCCAACCCCTCCCCCTTCCAGGGCCCACTTTCCTTAGCGTTTCCAGCACTCTTTTATTTGTCTTTTCATCCTGAATAATGTTGTTCCTAGCTTCAGTTTTTAGCTTCTGGTTATTCATTTATTCCTGAGCTCACTGAATTGCTTTGCCAGAGCTTCCTTGTGTCTCTCAGTGATCCAAAAGAGCCATTATGAAGTTCCCATCCCTTAGACCAGATTCGTTCCCGTCTTTTAGTTTGGTTGTTGGAGATTGTTCCCTCCTTGGGAACTATCTAATTATCTTCAGCTTCAAGTCCCAAGTGTCTTTATTGTCTTTTTGGCCAGCTGGCTAGTAGTCTATCTTTTAAAGTTCTTTTTTTAAATCAAGGCACCGTCATTTATTCATAGTCGAGTTTCAGACATACAGTGTTAAAAATCATCCCTGACTTTTGGGCTTAAAATTTAAGAGTTAGAAGACCACATTCAGCACTGAGTTGCACATCTTTGACATTTCCAGTAGGTGGTGCTATGTCCTGAGTGTTATTTTCAGTTCCTGCTAGACACTCTAGGTGCCAGGGGAGCAGAGGGCTGCAGCAGAGAGCTTTGGCAGGGGGGCTATTTGTGGGTGTGACCCCATTGTCCTTGCATCTTCATTGTTCCAGACCTGAGCCTTAGCAGTCTGTGTCTTGACACCCCTTCTCAAGGTTCAGTTCTGTTTTTTTGGCGCTTGGGCCACATCCTGGTGTGCTCAAGGCTTACACCTGGCAGTACCATATGCAGTGCTGGGGATGGAACTGGGGTTAGGTGTCTTATCGGGGTTCTGGCTGTGTGTTGCCCCTCAGCTCCTCTGCCTTGGTCCTCCCCTGGTAGGAGCATGTGCTCCTCCAAGATCCCTCTCCTCTCCCCTCCTCCCTACTGTGCAGGTGCAGGGGGTGCTGTGAGCTGCAAATAGGACTCTAATACTTTCTTCTTTTTGGATACCTTCAGATGAAATCACTTCTCAACAGAGTTTGCAATTCTTTCCTTAGATTAATTTCTCTTTGATGTTCATTGGGATTGATACCCATAGAGACCTGGTAGAAATGGTGGTCCAGGAACATCGTGTCCACTTGGGCTTACTCTCCTGTGGTTAGAACCTGTGTCCAGCACCACCTACCACAGGACAGAGTCCTGGACAGAGCAGACTTACCATCACATCTGGAGACCTTAATGGGTTTAAGTTGTTTCAGCATTTCCACTCCCACTTTGGACCTTGGAAAACAAGACAACGAATTAGTCTCATGTCTGGGAGACATGAGGAGAATAGAAGATATTCGCTTCAGAGTAAAGGATTTACTTATTTTGTGACTGAAAATGGATATTTATTTATTGGTATTGATACAAATCACCGTATATGGAGGAGGAGTTTTAGAAGATTGTTTCTCTTTCTTGGGACTTTCCAAGATCCAACAGTGTTCCATTCTTCTGCTCCCTGCCATCACTGTGTCCTAAAATCTGAGCTTTTGATTATTTAATTCACAAATTGTGTCTCATACTGTTTTATCACTCTCCAGTTCAAACACCTTGTCTTGGATTACTACAAGCTACAAATTGGACCAACCCTTTCCATTCTATCCCCAATAAATTCAATGCAATTGCCAGGAACCCTAATTAAACTGAAATACTTTCAATTTAAAAAAAATAATTTTGGTTTGGGGGCCTTATCAGTTACAGCTCAAGGGTTACTCCTGGCTCTGCACTCAGGAATTACTCTTAGCAGTGCTCAGGGGACCATATGGTATGCTGAGAATCGAACCCATGTTGCCCACACGCAGGCAAGTGCACTACCCACTAAACTATCACTCCATTCCCTGCGGTACTTTTTAAAACCCATACTCTGTTTATTAAGGAGTTCAGGATTCTGAATAGGACATCCAAACCTCTTATCCCAGCGCACTTGCTTTCCTCTAAATTTGTGACTCCTGCCATGTTTTTATGCAATTTTCCCCTAGAAACATACTTTCACAAGATTGGGGTAGGTTCTCCATCCGTTGCTGTTACCCTAATATCTGTGGGAGTGTTTGACTGGAAGTCTGTTCAATCTGATGCATGAATAAGTAGAGAGGATACGTTCGCCTTCCAGAAATGATGACTGCCTCAGAGCTTTTGCTTTCCCTTTGCATGGCTCTGAGTCATGCTAGGGGTAAGTTGGTGATGGATAGAAAGGGGACATAGAGGTGAAAGGGAGATTCAGATCCTGCAGAGATAAGTGGGACTTGATTCTCGGATGTGCTTGTTCAGGTTGAGTCCCGGGAGGGGAGAAACATTCCTGCTCTGGATTTGGGAGCAGAGTTGGTTAGGGGCTCAGAGGAGATGTGGTGATCAGAATCACTTGTAAAAGGACAGAACAGGCATCCAAATGCTATTAGCTATTGCTGAAGGGAATCAGACAATATAGCTCAGGAACCAAAGCTTGGGGAATTCATTAAGATTCTATAATGGATTCCCAACTTATGTGCAAGAGGACATTGGCGATTGAAGAACAAGATGTCGCTGGGAGAAGTCTTGAACATAGAGGTGAGGCTGGAGCATCTCAACGCTGCAGACAGACTGTGGAACAGGGGAGGAGATGCAGCTCCTTGCCAGGTCTGTGCGCTCCATGGCACGGGGCCCTGGTGGGGTGGGTGGAAGCCGGTGGGACAAGTGGTATCTCCAGTCTTGCACCATAGGGACAGCCCTGACACATGCCAGTCTCGGCTTCTGGGAATGTGACTGTGATAGGGAAGGGGGGAAAGGTAAGAGTGTCAGACTGCTCATGGGATCAGGACAAATTTGGATCATCTATGCCATGCCCACATTCTGAGCAGGAAACATGGCAGGTGCCCATCCACCTGTTTGGATCCTTTGGAGAGGATTTTTTTTTGCTGGTTCTTGAACCTGGTGTGTCCATGGCCATGCAAGGGTGCTGAGAACTAACCCCAACTGCTAGCAAGTGTGTTTCTGGTTTCAGATGCCCAAGGGCTGCTTTAACATGAGACAGGATAAGTGTACTGTTCCCAGAACACAGCCAACACCAGACCTGGAGGCCTCCCAGGCTGCTGAAGCAGGCAGTTCCGTCCTGCAGTTCCAGCTGATCTGCAGATCTGGGAATGACCTCCCAGATGTTATGAGAGTTCAGCAGTGCCCAAGCCAAGAGAAAGCCTAACAGAACCAAGTGTCCTGTTGGTTAGGAACTCTGCAAGTATGACTGGTTCTGGTTGAGATCACAAAGTGTTCTCAGCTTGAAATTGCCCAAGAGAGAGCTCTGTTTTGTAGTTCATTCACAGCAGAGTATAGCGCACAGGTGCAGGGGGCACCAAAAGCTGTGCTGGGTAGACAGAGCACAGCTGTGTCTTCCTGTTTGCAGGGCGAACCGAGGATTCTCAGCACTCAGGGAAATGGGTGCAGACTCAGGTATGAATCTGACCCTCAATGCTGAGTTTTACATGATCTAGGTCCAGGCCTATGGCCCTGTTAGGCTAGAACAACCAAATCCTAGCCTCATCCATTATCCAGTATGGTGCCCAGCATGAAACATCTGGTGAACCAGCCAGAGAATCCAGAAAACCATAGATATACCAGTATTAAGATAAGAAATCAAGGATCACAAAAATATCAGGTGAATAAGACAGTACTAGGGAAACAAAATTCTTTGTAGTGGACTCTAGAGAAGAGGAATTGATTTTGACTCTATGAACTGAACCCAAGATTTCAGCAGGGATTCAAACGTAGAACTGATCACTTGTTTGTGCAGAAGAATCATTGGTTGGGGTTGGAGAGATAGTAGGGCATTGCCTGGTACACAGGTGACCAGGGTTCAATCTCTGGCATCCCACATGGTAAGCCCCAAGCATCACAGGAGTAATTCCTGAGTGTAAAGCGAGGAATAACTCCTGAGCATTGATGGGTATGGTCCAAAAACCAAACCAACAGCAACAACAAAACCTCAACAATAATTAGTGACTTGAACCACAGAAAATTTGAAACTGTCAGATGGGTGAAAAAAAAGAAGAATGTCAAAGAACAAAGAAAGCCGAGGAGAATTAACAATGCTAAGGACAGACCCAATACACTATGGGGGGTTACAGGAGCCAATGGAAGAATTAGAAAGTGTTGTTCATGGCTGAAAGATTCCTGAACCTGGGAAGGACACAACATGAATGACCCCTTTGAAGGACCTCACTGATCTGCAGGATGCTTGCCTAGTGTGAAGACAAAAACAGAACAGCAAGAACAAAGAGAAACTATAGGAGGTACACTCATATTACAACTGGCAGATTCATTTTCTCAGATCAGAAGATTGTTGGGCGACATAATCACTGTCACAGTCCTCCCATTGTTCATTGATTTGCTCAAGTGGGCCCAGTAACGTCTTCATAGTGACACTTGTTACTGTGTTTGGCATATCGAATATGACACAGGTAGCTTGCCAGGCTTTGCCATGTGGGTGAGATACTCTCGGTAGCTTACTGGGCTCTCTGAGAGAGGTGGAAGAATTGGACTCGGGTCGGCCATGTTGGCCACTTGCAAGGCCAACGCCCTACCTGCTGTGCTATCGCTCCAGCCCGGGCAACATAATCAAAATATTCAAAGAAAATCGTTGCCAACAAAAAAGTTTTTGATGGCTTATTTGTTCATAAATGGAAGAAGGATCAAGACGTTCCTAAACAAAAGCTGAGAGAGTTTATTCTCACCCAGTCTGTATTTCTAAAGTAATTTCGTTGAGTTGAAAGTGAAAATACAAACATCTTAAAACCATAAAAGTGACTCTGAAAATGGTAACTATTTAGTCACAAAGATTAATGTAGTAATTATGACCTTAACTACAGGTTGTTTCCAGTTATACAATATAAAGATAAATTACAGGAAAAATAATTAATAAAACATGAGGGGGAAAAAGAAGTAAAAGTACAAAGTTTATGAACTCTGTTGAAATGGTCAGCATTATTTATTTTTAGGGAAGCACATTCAGCCATCTGGATGGGCATAGGTTGCTGGATATTGAACCTAACCCTGTACTGTTTCCTTGTCCCTGACATTATCAATTTTAAACAGGCTGTTGTGAGTTTATGATGTTATTTGTGCTTCATGGTAACCACAACGGAACGTTATATACTAATTCTAAGAACTCTGGCAGTGATCCCTAGTTAAAGGCCTAGAGAATACGCATATAAGTTATAGCCCTGGGTTTGATCTCCGACATGACTTAGTCCACCAGCACGACTGAGAATGACTCCAAAGCTAACAAAATAGACAAAAACAAAAAGTTCATATATCTTTAATCTTAAACTTCCTTAAGTTAAGACTGCTACCCACAGTCTCAGTAAGGATGATCTTATTGACACTTGGGCCTACCAATGTCAGAATCTGTGAGAGAATACCTTCCTCTCGTTTTAAACTACCCAGTTGTGGTACTTTACAACAAAGTATTAGACATAGCAAAGTTGTGGTACTTTGTTACAGCAGAATATTAAATATTTAACAGAAAGGGCAAATCTGTTTCTTTACCATTTTCCAACTCTAGGAGATCACCTTGTGGCACCCTGCCTGGAGATTAAGGACCTCATGCTAGCCAAGACCCTCTCTCTTTTGTGGGTGTTCATACTGGATAGTGGTCAGGGGCAACTCTTTGCACTGTGGTCACAAGTCCATATAGTGCTGGAGGTTGAATTTGGGCCTCCCTTGGGCAAAGCTTGCACGTTAGGCCTCTGAGCTATGTCCCTAGCCCATGATGCTTTTGACACCATTGAAATAGCTTCTGGAGCATTTTCTCACTGGCATCCCAACAGTAGAGCAGCTGGAATGCCTTGGTATGGGACAGCAGCGCCTGTGTTTGCATTTTTTTGTGCGTAAGAAAGTGCTAGAAACTATTTTCCAGATCTCTGTATGTGTGGTGTCGTTGAAGGAGAAAAAAGAAAAAACCTGTTTGATTGGCTTTGAAAATAGATGGGGAAAGGATGGGTTGCTGAGAACCTGGTCAAAATACAACAAAAAATCAGTTGCCACACTTTGGTAAATTGAATCTCAGGAATAAAGTAGATCATAGAAAAAAAAAGAGAGAAAGAAAAGTTAATGAATGGAGTTCCCTTGAGATGACAGGAAATTATCAGAGGATCTAAAGAAGTTGAAATCTATAGGTGGTTTCAGATGGGGGGTGGTACTCAATTACCCTTTGCAGTTCTTCAAGTAGCTCTGGAAGAGATACTGGTTATTCATTATAAGTAAGGCAGGACTTTCTGGCACAGAGAGGGGAGACCAAGGTGGGAGAGACTGTTCATGAGTCAGAGAGAAAGGATGGCATGGACACACACACCATTGATTGAGAAGGCCGCTCACATTATCATCTGTGGAGCCCTGTCCACTTACCCCACAGCCTAGGGTGTATGAAGAATGCTCCCCCCACTACCCAACCTCCCACAGCTGTACCTACTGAGGAATGTCCAATCCCGACATCAACTGGAGCCAGCCATCAGGAGTTGGCTTGGGGAAAGATGAATCGACTGCATTGTGCAGAATGGACTAGAGGGTAGTTGTGCTGAGGGAGAGCTGGCAAAGGTGATTTGGGGGAGATGATCTTGAGGCACATTCCAGCTCTAGGCATGGGGGGGGGGGGGAAATGGGTGAAAGCAAAATATATTTAAGGGGCAGGTTTGCCAAATATGACATGAGGGGTGAATGCGGGAACAGAGATATTACTGCACACTTACTCTCTTGATGTAACTGCTGATAACCCTGCAGAGTGTATTTGCAGTGTTAGTGGGGTTAGAGGAGAGGACATGGCCCAATGGGAGGGTACTGGCCATTAGTGGGGAAGTGTGACACCTAAGGCATAGAGTTCACCTCGGCATGGGGAGTCAGGAGCTGGAGGGAGGTATCTGTGGATGATGGCACTTAAGTGTCAGAAGCACCGGAGGGGGTCATGCTGCATATTGAGAGAACAGTGCCCTTCTTTTATTTTGTATTTGTTTAGGGTTACATCCAATGGCCCAGAGTTAACTCCTAGTTTTGTGCTCTGGAATCACTCCTATCATGCTTGGGGGACCATATGGGGTGAACCTACATTGGCCACATGCAGCACAAGTGCCCAACCCACTGTATAATGTCTCTGGCAGCAGGTAGTATCCTCCTACCTGTGCACACCATCAGCCTGCATCTCTGAAAAGCAAACTTACCTGATGAAGAGACTTTGTTCCTCAGCAGTCAGGTAAGAAATGGCACGATTCCTCGTGGTCATGTGGGTCAGGGCCTCACAGGGAACATGCGGTGGCTTCACACAGTAGAAAGTTTCACGTTCACGAGTGTCCAGGTACTGACACAGCTCAGCACTTGAGTTGAGGGTCAGGCCACATTCAGCCAAGACATGGGAGGTGCCATTAGCAAATTTGCCCGTGAAAATAATTTTTTCACAGCCTTGGTTCCTGGCCCTCCAGAGAGCCGACACACCTTCGCTGGGGTGGATGAGCAGGACAGACAGGGAGGCCAGGCCCTCCCAGAACAGAGTGAAGCTGATCAGGTAGGTACCATTGTGGAAATCGGTCACATTCCCTGAGGCACCGGCCTTCAGGGCTGGGGAGGATATCCGGGCCCTCAGGAAATCCCCGCCATATTCCTTCCTGTGCCCCAAATGGTCCCTGGCCTGGAGCAGGACGTCCAGCTGGTCCCCCTTGCAGTACGTGTCTCGGGGATGGAGGATGGTGGCTGTGCTGTGTGTGGCACTGGTGGTGGAGTTCACATGGGTGAAGGGCCGGGCTGGGATGAGCTGGCTGAACTCCTCCACGATCCTCCTGATTCTAAGGTCAGATTCTGATTCTGTTGGTGACATCCTCGTGACTGGTGGAGCAGGGTCTGAGGAGTTTTTGAAAGTGTTCGAGTCACAGAAGGTTATAGTAGGCCAAAGCTGAAATGACAAGGAATGTGGTAGGCTATGAAATGGACCTTGGCAAGTTATTTTTCTTGTGGGCTTTAGATATCGATTCACTGCCTTGTTTTGTTTTTTACAGTCATGGCATATTTTTTTTCATGGAATATAAACATTTATCTCTTTACCTCAATGTTAGTGAATGTATGAACATTGTCGATAAAGATATTGACTCCAAACGACTCTGCTCAGAAAATACTTTTAAGTATTAAATAAATTTCTGTGCATTAAGTTTCTCCCCTTATATATCTTATATTCAGTCATCGGGCTGGAGCGATAGCACAGCGGGTAGGGCGTTTGCCTTGTAAACGGCCAACATGGCCGACCCGAGTTTGATTCCTCCGCCCCTCTTGGAGAGTCCAGCAAGCTACTGAGAGTATCTCGCCTGCATGGCAAAGCCTGGCAAGCTACCCATGGCATATTCGATATGCGAAACACAGTAACAACAAAGTCTCGCGATGGAGACGTTACTGGGCCTGCTCAAGAAAAATCGATGAACAATGAGAGGACAGTGATAGTGATTCAGTCATCACTAAATTCTGAGTTCTACTCCCCCCACCCCGTCTATTCCTTACAAATTGTGGATTCAGTCATAATCATTTGTTACCTGGATTCTAGTAGTTACTTGTTCAGTTCTGCTTGTTTGTCAATTAATTTTTCTTCTTACAGGGAAGTAATAGACTTATACACTGAAAATTTATTGTTTAAAAAAGTTGAGAGGAGGTTTGCTGAAATGCTAGTATAGCAGATAGGGCGCTTGCCTTGCACATGTCAAACCTACGTTCAATCCTGGAACCCTGTCTGGTTCCCCCAAGCCCTTCCAGGAGTGATCCATGAGTGCAGAACCAGGAGTAAACCCTGAGCACAATTGAAAGCATGCCTCATGCTTTCCATTTGGTACTAGAGCTGTGGGTTGCTGAGACATGTAACCTGTCTCTGCCTTGCTTCTGTCTGCTGAGTCACACCTACTGACCAGCATGGTCCTGTCCAGACAGGAGAGAGGAGAGATTTGCGCAGAAGTGAGTGCTGGCTGACATGGTGGGTTCCTGCACTACGTCAGAGTTGGGGATTCCCCAGGGCACAGATCTGAAGGATATCTGTGGCTGCCTGGGCAACAAGGTCACTTCTTCTCCCTTTGCATGTTGTTCTTGGTGGAGACATCAAACATCTGGCCAGAATTGAGCAGTGGATGTATCCTGGTACATGACTATTAGGAGCAGTAAAATGCAGGGATGCTCATGGGGACCTGGGCCGATACAGAGGTAGAGTATCTGGGCACACTCGTGTGTCAGTATACATATGGGTCCAGATTAGTGGAAGGAAGCTGAGGTATCAGTAAAATATTGGCACATGTAAAGCCTCAGAGGCTGTCTGCAGGGTCCCTGTGGATCCAGTGAGCTTTAAACAGGGAATGCCCAGCAGTGAATGGGAACCAGACAGGGAAACCCAGGCTTGCACAAAACTGGATCTTCATTTTTGACCATACACATTGCTGCAGACACAAGGAATTTACCTGCACTAATGGATGATGACAGAAAGCATGGGAAGGAGCACACAGGAGGGACCTAATTTCCCTGACAGGAATCCAGAGTGACTGGGGATAAGCAGTTCACTGACAGAAGTAGAGGAGAGGTCCAACAAGGTCTGAACTGAAAGGCAGAGGAGGAGAAGCAACAAAGACCATACACCCCAAATATGAAAAAATAAATTTAAAGGGAAGAGATATTGAGAGCTAATGCAGCAGGTAATACGTGTACCTTGCATATAGTCAAGTTGGTTTTGATCCCTGAATATTGCCAAGAGTGATCTTTGAGCACAGATCCAGAAGTAAGCCTTGAGCATTGTGGGATATGACCCCAAACCCCCATCTGTTCCCCTCCCCCCACCCAATGAAGATAACATCGGAGAACTGCCTATAGTTCTTGGCTTTAAGTGAAACATTATTTTAAGTATAGGGGTTCCAACGGGAGAGGAAAGTGGGAATGGGAATGAAGCTTGAGTGTGAGAAATTCTACCATTCCCAATCTGAAAATAGACTCATACATTCTTTTTTTTGGGGGGGGGGTCACATCCAGTGATGATCAGGGGTTACTACTGGCTCTTCACTCAGGAATTACTCCTGGTGGTGTTTGGGGGACCATAGGGAGGCTGGAGATCGAACTCAGGTCTGCAGCATCCAAGACAAATGCCCTACCCACAAAGACTAACATCAGAAACATCCAGAATCCTAGACTGAAAACAAACCCCCTAATTTTAGTAATTTCCCTTAATGTCAATGATTTGGACTCACTGATCCAAAGATATGGAGAGGCCTGTATGGATTGGAAGACTGAGTCCAATAATCCATTATATTTTATTTTGTGATCACACCCAGCAGTGCTTGGGCTGGAGTGATAGCACAGCGGTAGGGCATTTGCCTTGTGCGCAGCCAGCCTGGCCAATCCAGGTTCAATTCCTCCGCCCCTCTCCGAGAGCTCGGCAAGCTACCGAGAATATCTCGCCCGCACAGCAAAGCCTGGCAAGCTACCCATGATGTATTCGATATGCCAAGCACAGTAACAAGAAGTCTCAAAATGGAGACGTTACTGGGCCCGCTTGAGCAAAATCGATGAACAATGGGAGGACCCAGTGGTGCTCAGGGCTTAAACTCCTGTCTTGTGGGCTCAGGGATCACTCTTGGTGGGGTTCAGTGGACCATATCTAGGGTATGGGATCAGATATGGGTCGGCCATATGCAAGGCAAGCACCTACCTGCTGTACTATCAGTCTGGCTTCTGAATATTTCCCTATTTTTAGAAAAAACACACTTCAACTCTTAGAATAAGTACATGTACAGAGTAAAAGACTGGAAAACAGTAGATTGACAGTCATACTTATATCAGACAGTAGAGACTTTAAAAAATGGCAAAGAAAGACGATGGATATTACATAATCAAAGTGTTAGGGATACTCAACACCATTTGATGTATGTGCACCAAATTTAGAAGCATAAAAATGTGTAAATCAACTTCTAATAGGAATTGCTGTGTGTGGCAGAATTCAGTGTTTTCCCAACTGTATTGATAGACAGGGAAGCTGTCATTTATTTTTAAAATTTTTATTTAACCACCATGAGATACACAGTTAAAAAGTTGTTCACAATTGAGTTTTAGTCATACAATGTTCCAACATCTGTCTTTTCATCAGTGTACATTTCCCACCATCAATATCACCAGCGTCTGTCTTTTAAAAATATAACTAACATCTCAGACTCTATAGTCCTGGTCAGTGGAAACTTAATCAGTAATATGTTTTGTTTTTTAATTTAAATTTGTAAAATTTTAGTCACTGTGATTTACAATACTATTGAGAGGTTTTGTGCTTACAGTGTTTTGACACCACAACCTCCACCAGATTAATCATCTTCCTTCACAAGTTCCCTACTCTCCTCCCCATCCGCTGTTGTGTAAACTCAGCTCTATTGACCTCAGGTTCTGTCACATTTGGCCACTTCTTTTCCTGTTATTATGTTTCTTCTGAGCCCCACATATGAGAAAGATCATTCTGTACCTGTCTGTCTTCTGATTAACTACATCAGCACCATTCCTTGCAGATCTACCCATGGAGCAGAAAGTCACATGATTTTGTCTTTTCTTATAGACAAGTAATATTTCATGGTGTATATATACAGCAGTTTCTTTATCCATCTATCTGTTCTTGGATACTTGGGTTTTTTCAGATTTGGGCTATTGTGAATTGTGCCGCAATACATATAGGAGTGCAAATATCTTTTAGAATAAAGGTTTTGGGTCTTGGGGTCAATGCCCAGAAGTGGAATTGCTGGGTCATATGAAAGCTCAATTCTTAGTTTTTTGAGAATTATATATTGTTTTCTAAAGAGACTGACATTTCCACCAGTAGACATTCCCACCCACAGTGGATGAGTTCTCTTTACCTCATGTCCATGTCAACACTGATTGTTTTTGTTCTTTATGATATGTGCCAGTTTCACTGGTGTGAGGTGATACTCCTGTTTTGATTTACATTTAATTGGTGATAAGTGGTGCAGAATGCTTTTCTCCATATACCGATTAGCTAAATGTATGTCTTCTTTGAGGAAGTTTTTGTTAATAGAATCCAAGCTGGATTTAAAAAAATAACGATTGACAAAACTCTGAGATAGTCAGTGAGCTAATTATTAATTTCAGAAATAAATATATTGATATATTTATTACATATAACTGAGTACAATTATAAAGTAGTTACTATAGCAACATAGTTTTAACAAATTACACAGGATTATAATTATGTACCTGGGATAAGGTGTTTGCCTTGCAAGCGACCAACCTGGGTTCGATTCCTCCATCCCTCTCGAAGAGCCCGACAAGCTACCAAGAGTAACCTGCCCTCCCGGCAGAGCCTGGCAAGCTCCCCGTGGTATATTCAATATGCCAAAAAAAGTAACAATAAGTCTCACAATGGAGACATTACTGGTGCCCGCTTGAGTAAATCAGTGAACAACGGGAGAACAGTGCTACAGTGCCAATATTATATAAATAATAACTGCAATTAACAGTGCACATAAATAAAATTCCAAATAATTGTCTCTGGAAAATATGAAACCTCAGTTTGGATAAAACTTTTCAATACTTAAAGTAGTAATAACATAAGCATGATAACGATTCCCCTTATCTGCCTGACACACCTGGGATGTGGCTGAAGTGGTTGAGAACAGTGCCTTGACTGTCCAATTGGGGTCACTCATGGCACTGTCTTGCCCACCTTCCCTTCACCATAAATGCCTCCCACAATTAATGCAACAGAGTAACTTGGGCGTGGGTCATGCCTGGCTGTGCTTGGGGCTTACTCCTGGCTCTGTGCTCAGGGATCATCCTGGCAGGAATCAGAGATTAGGAGACATATGTGGTGCTAGGTCAGCCTCTGCAGGCAAACATCCTGCTGTTGTGCTAGCTCTCTTGCTCTACAGCACCCAAAAGGAGAGAGAGAACAAAAGGGAATGCCCTGCCACAGAGGCAGGATGGGATGGGGCGGGATAGAGGGGGTGAGAGAGATACTGGGATCAGTGGTGGTGGAGAATGGGCACTGGTGGAGGGATGGGTACTTGATCATTGTATGACTGAAACCCAAGCACAAAGATTTGTAAGTCTACAACTGTACCTCATGGTGTTTCACTAATAAAAATTTTTAAAAAATGACTCAACTACATTCTATTTCCTTATTATTGCCCCCATCTGGTCTACTCCTGCTTGTTTATTCTAGTCCTGAGGGCAATAATCCCTGAACACAGAGTCAAGAGTTAACCCTGAGAATAGCTGGGTGTGTCTACTCCCCTTCCCCACCTCCCAAGAGTCTAGATAAAGCAGAAAGAAAAAGCACAAAATTTATCTGCCTGACACACCTGGAATGTGGCTGAAGTACACCTAGGAGCCCTTACACTCTTAGTTTAGCTGTTGTCCACTCTGCGGGGAGCTTGTGCAGAACCGCCCAGTTCTGACCTTCCTTAAGGTACACACATCATCAGGATGAATTATCCATAGTTAATTCATATATGCACCCACAGTGGGTGAGAAGAATGTTACTACAGATTCTACTTTGGGGGCGCGGGGGCAAGGGAGAGGAGGGCTTCTGAGCAGTGAGGGCATAAGAGAGGTGATGTCTAGCATCTCTGAGAAACAAGGAGAGGAGGGGGAGAAGCACCGGCAGACTCGGCTGGCAGAGGAGTGGTGGCTTGTGACTGAGCAGACTGAACCCAGGAACGACCTTGCCCTCACACTGGAGGAAAGGCTTCCTACCTTAGTCGAGTTCTGGGTAGTTATCAGAATGATCCAGGAGATCACCGAGAAGGACAGCAATAGCAGTAGCACTTTTTTAAACAGAGTGCAAGAGGCCATCAGGAGCACCCTAGGAGAGAGGACCCATTAGGAAACTGGTTAACTAGTGAATTTCTCTACACTCTCCCTCTCATTTTACTCTATTTTCTTTTTGGGGGGAGGGAGAGCTCACACCTAGCAATGCTCAGGGATCAGGGTTACTCCTGGCTCTGCCCTCAGGAATCACTCCTGGCGGTGCACAGGAGGACCATATAGGATGCTGGGGATTGAACCTGGATGAACTGCATGTTGATCCTTCTGCAAATGCCCTACCTTCTGTGTTATCACTCCAGCCCATCTATTTTCTTAAAAAATTTTTTTTGTGTGGTGGATCACATGTCGCTTTGCTCAAGGCTTATTCCTGGCTCTGTGCTCAGGGATCACACCTGGTGGGCTCAGGGATCATAGGGTGTGAATCTGGGTTGGCAGCATGTAAGGCAAATGCCTTTCCCATTGTATGATCACTCTGGTCCCTTTGCTCCATTTTCAACCTGTGCCCAGACTTTGTTCCCCTCTCAGACCACCCCCGTTGCCTCTCAGAACCAACAGTGTGAATCTCCAACTCTTTGACTCACCCGGTGGCTACTCATCCCTCTTGGAAGATTATTGTTTTCCTCCTTCCAGAGCCTAAAAATGGGAGTCAAAATTCCCTTATCTATGCGCTCTTTGCTCATTTTACCACAGATTGCAAAGGATAGTGAGAAACAGAAAATTACTTCATTAGCCTGTTTTGGGGGAAGAGATAGGACAGTTTGGATCATAAGAATATGCCCTGTCACCAAACACAGCCTTCTGGGATATTTTCTGTGCTAACTAGGAGGGAGATTGGATCTTATGGTTAGCTGAAATTTGGAAGCAGGCTTACCTGCATGTGGCTCACCCCAATTCAATCCCTGTCACCACATATGATTTACTGACCTCTACAGGAGAAATATGAGCACAGAACCAGAAGTAAGCCCTGAGAATGTATGGGTGTGTCTACTTCACCCCTGAACCCCCCCCCCCCAAATTCTCATTACCCAAATGCTAAAGAATTGGGATATTTATTGTAGCTTTCATGGCCAATGTCTAGCATAGTATCCAACACACATTTTTAAATGACAGTGTTTAAATCTCAGTCCTGATTTTCAGATCAAGTTTAGTATGAAAATTTCACACTTCTCAGAGTGAACCATTAGCATGATTAACAAGCCACAAAATAGTTATAAAACTGTCAGTTATAAAACCCTCTCCCCCACCCAACATGGAAGAGCCTGACCTCTTTCAACTGAGCTTTGTAGCGCATGAATTATGAGATATTGCCTAACTATTTTCTCTTCTGGGAAATAGTTGGCATCATATGTTTAAGCAGTACACATGTTTTTTACATATGATTTTGATTGCACTTAGGAGCCCTGACACAGCATTCTTAGTTTAGCTGTTGTCCACTTGGCGGGGAGGTTGTGCAGAGCCGCCCAGTTCTGACCTCCCCTAAGGCACACTCATCACCAGGATGGGTGCACAGAGGGTCCTCTGATCCACCACACTCTTATTAGTGAAAGTGTAGTGTGCACGCTGAAATTTTTTTTTTGAGTTCAAATATAACTGTACCAAAGAAAACACTTGCAAGTGTTTGTTAGCGACATGGATTTGATGTTCCATACTTTAGAAGTGGCAGCAAGACAAGGGGAGAGAGTGGAACAAACAGGGCAAGTGAAGGGGTCCAGTGAGCAAGACCAATGCTGCCTGGGCTGTGCGGGGGCCATTGTTAGGAGGAGACCGTATGCCACATAGAGTAAAGGCAGAGGAAGGCACAAGCTGGAGAGAGCCTTGAGAGAGCCTGGGCTGGTGGGGTGGTCAGAAGCTATTCCCAGCAGAGATACAACAGACTACTGGACACTGGTTGACAGTTCACTGGGCACTCCAAGGTCCTGGGCATGCAGATACTGTCCGATACTGTAAGGACACTTCAGGTGAATGTTCTCATCTTCTCCCTGGAGAAGACTGACCATGGCATATCCTTGGACTCTCTCTGGCTCCCTGCCAAAAGGCAGAGACAGAGATAGTCATTCAGTCAGAAATGACTTTCATCTCTCCCACAGAAGGGTAACCCCAAACAGGCCTTGTTGGCATCAAAATTATTTTGAGCAAACACAAACATGACAGTAGTAGCCATTTGTGGTGGTGGTGGGGTATTGTTGGATAACATTGGGTTGTCCTTGCTCCTCCTGCAGGAAGCTTAAAGTTTATTGAGCTACTCCCATAGCAGAGCCCCTGAGGCATACCCAATTCCATCAAGTACCGATAACACTATATTGCTTTTCTCCTTCCTTTATGTCATTTGCATGGTTTATTTAGCAATGTCATTTTTGTATAGGCAGAGGAAGACTGTTCATGCTATGCTTTGTAACATGGGAATTAATTGACTCCAAATTTACTTCTGGGCTTCCATATTTACTTGACGTAAGCCTCAGTTGCCCTTAGTTCCTAGCACTCCAAATGTAGGGTCCCAACGAAGGGACTGGATGGACCCAGGGCAAGTTGTAAGCTACCCCTGGCATTGAAAGGAGACAAGCTAAGCATCATAAGTAAAGGTAAAGGTAAAGGCCCTCCCGTTGATCGTCGATTTGCTCGAGCAGGCCCAGTAACGTCTCCATTGGAGACTTTGTTGTTACTGTGTCTGGCATATCGAATACTCTCGGTAGCTTGCCGGGCTCTCCGAGAGGGGCGGAGGAATCGAACTCGGGTCGGCCATGTTGGCCGCTTGTAAGGCGAACGCCCTACCCGCTGTGCTATCGCTCCAGCATCATAAGTATTATAAGTTAAAAGCATGATAATGGAACAAACTCTGTCATGATCCATAAAGAAGCAACTGAATAAGGAATAACTGAATAACCCCTGCTGGGGTTAGGAAAGACTAACCTGGCCTGAGGACTATAGTCTGGGATATATAGCAATTTCCTCAAGAAGAGTAAGCCTTTAAGCTTAATATATTTCTTAGTGTGTTCATAAAAAATGACTAGAAATATTGTTGTTTACTGTGTTTGGCATATTGAATACTTCATGGGTAGCTTGCCAGGCTTTGCCATGCAGGCGAGATACTCTCGGTAGCTTGCCGGGCTCTCCAGGAGGGGCGGAGGAATCGAACTTGGGTTGGCCATATTGACCACTTGCAAGGCAAACGCTTTACCCACTGTGCTATCACTCCAGCCCAGAAATATTATAAGAAGTAAATTTACTATGATTGTTTAAATGGGTTACTAGCTGAGGGACAAAGAAAGCAATACACCCTGGATGGAATCCTGCCCTTGAGCAAATCTCCCAGTAGTCTGGAGTGCTGGATCCTCAAATGAGATTTTGTCCTTGAGTTACTTTCCTAAAGGAGTGGCTTTGCCTCTGTTTTTATGACAATGGTTAACCCCACTTTATGTACCCCCTCCCTTCATGATTTCTATATAACTCTGCTGTAAGAGGTAAGAGGGGACTAGAAAGTTGACACTAGGAGGATGAGAACTGACACTTTGGGACTTTGAGAACTAGAAAGAGGACTAGATGACAATGATGACTGGAAGTAGAGGCCTATGAGACTACAACAAGACAAGGAAGAAAATATAACGAAGTAGAGGACTTTGAGGTTTATGAGGAGACTAGAATGATGGAACTATGGTGACTGGGGCTATGACCAAAACTACGACTATAATTGTGCCATAAGGGGAGAGATCGGACTATGCTGGGAAGAGAGAGAAATAACCTGTCTACAGACAGGCCTGGGGCCGTTCCTGTTCCTCCATTCCCCTGCCCTTCGTCCATCCTCTGCCTGGGGAGGTGGCTCTCGGCCACTGAATGCTTGAGTCCCCATGTGTCTGTGCCTTTTCCTTTGGAAACTCACAGGAGTTCAGAAAGGAAGAGAGCTATTACCTGGGTTGATTTTCTTCTGGGGTGGCCTGCCTACTGCCTATGTGGCTGGGAAACTGTTTCTGTTGCATTTGAGAGCCTAGAAGTAAACACTTGTATCAGGACAATTATTATTTCTTGGGGGTGGTGGGGGTGGGCCATACCTGGCTGTGCGCAATGATTGCTCCTGGCCCTGTGCTCAAGGATCACTCCTGGCAGTGCTCAGGGGGCTATAGAGGTGCTAGAGGTTGTATGAGACTCGTGGATTGCAAAGCAAGCACATTGACCCGTGGACTATCTCTCTATTATCTGGGCAGTTATTTTATGATGTAGAGCCAATAGCACAAAAAAATAGAGGAAGAAATACCTCTTCAAAAAATGGTAGTGGAAAACTAGTTAGTCACATGCAAAGAAGCAATACTGAATCATCACAAAAGTCGACTCAAAATAGATTAGACATGTTATGAATGAATCCATAAGGCACATTCAGAAAAACACGGTTAGAAACTCAATGGCTCAAAGATGTTTTCAAGACTCCAGCAGCACTGGCAAAGTAAAGCAAAGGTGATTCCCAGGACCTGTGTGGGTTGTTTGTCGTTACAAGAGAGCACACGCAGCAAATCAGCCCTTGTACTTCCTCTGGGAGGTTCCCCTTTCCTCTGCTCCTACAGCACCCCTGAAGCCAGTGGGGAGATAGACTGGCTATAAAGGAGAACCTAGAGAGCCTGCTTCCAGTTTATATCAGAGTCATGCATTGTGACACAGAAAGATTAGTTTTAGGATACAGACTTTCTCCTCCTACTGCCTCACACAGCTGAAGCCCCACGCCACACATGGAACATCTCCCACTTACAGGGGAGATTACCTGGAATATCTGAGAACCCCACAAATGATGCAGAACCAGGAGCAAGAAACAAAGGAATTCAGTGGAATTCATGGACAGGGACGAAAGTCCAGGAAGTTGATTCTCAGCTACATCAGATTTTCAGAAAAACTGTTTGAAGACAACTTGAGAGAAACATATCTCTCTGATTAATGATCTGAAAAAAGATAAACTGAACAGAGAATCAATAAACTTGAAGAAGGTCTGATGGAAGAAATGAAAGAACTCAGTCAAGTTGAAATGAAGGCGCTAAAGAATACTACAC